CCAACATTATATATACAACTTGATGTTCAATAGGTATTTTTGAATCAGCTGAAATATAATCATGCTTATCTGTTTGAAATCCAGCTCTTTAGTACTCTCACTTATCCATGATATAGTAAATGTGTCTTTGCTCATTTCCTTTAGTTTAGGCACTAAAACTCTAGTGGTTATTTAAGGCGAGCTATTTTACCCCTTAGTCTCTATTTGTTATTATTACGTACCATACCACTAACAATCTCAACAATCTGGTTTTGAAGTCCTTGCCAAATAAGCTATACTAGTAAGTTAGAAGGAGGAATTGCTATCAGTAGTACCTAGAGAGCAGGCCTAGCCTGACTACAATAAAGGGGAAGAGAAACTTAAAAATTTTAACTCAAAGCACAGTAGTCCTATGGATACTATTTAATGTCGGGATAAATAGTCATGTTCAATACAGTAGGACACTATGTATCTTACAACACAGGACATATACAGTGAACTATATAAACCATAAGTCATTAAAAAAAATACACAAGGTAACTGTTTAGTGTTACCTGTAGAAGAAACAGGAGCAAGTACATGACTTTTAGATAAGTCAAAATGGTGCTCCTGGAGGGTATGCTCAGGTATACTTACGTACCCAGGAAACTTAACCTTCCAAACCAGTTTATATACCAAGTGCTTTAACTGTGTGAGATTTAGTTTTGATGCAATATTTGATTTACTGTACGTAAATACATTACTTGATTTATATACAGAATTCCTCCCTACTGAAAGAGGTTATTCTGAGGCTTGTTTTATTTTTTAAAATTTCTTTTTACCAATATGAATAATACCATTTAGGGATCATTAATGGTCTTTCTCTATAGTAATATGGGATAACCCTTTACCTTATCACTGTAGTTGCTGCTTTGGTGATTCTAATGTTGTTACTTCCTAGGCTGCACGAAGCTGTCTTTTTGAAAAATTAACTTTTTCATTGTTACACTTTTTTACACTTAGTGTAAAAAAACTCAATTCTAAAAAGCAACAAGTTTTCCACTCCCTGGGGTCAACCACTTTCAACTCTGCTGATTCTCACATTACTTACCTCCATCTCATTAAGTAACTTGCTTTATTTTGCTATGTGTTGGTTTTTCTATCTTAGGTATCATCTGTTGACTTTCTGGTGTGGAAATTGAAGATTTAGCTCTTTTTCACCATCCTGCTATTCCCACGGACCACTTTAAGGTTCTATTATAGTTACGATTTAGGTTATCTCCGTAGTTTTTACCTTATGGCTTTTTACAACTAGGCCATGTGGTATACTGTTGTTACTTTGTTTTATCCCTGCGTAACTTTTTTGGAGGGAGTGTTTTCGTTGTTTTTTTGTATTTGTCACTGATTTCTCCCCAAGCTACTGTTGTTACTTTGTTTTATCCCTGCGTAACTTTTTTTGTATTTGTCACTAATTTCTCCCCAAGCTCATTCATTTGTTTCAAGTTCCTTTTAATATGCTCAGACTCATTGGGTATGTCTTAGAGATGTCTTGTTTTGGTATGTACCGTTAATATGCTCAGACTCATTGGGTATGTCTTAGAGATGGTATGTACCAGTTTGATTTATTCTTTAGGTTTGTTACACACCTCTTGAGTTGGTGTATCCTTTCACTGTCATGTTATGTATGTTAATCTGAATTCTTTCTTGTTTTGTCACCTCTAACTGCCTTCCTGAGAAAGTGTGTGGGAGATAAATTTCTTGAGATCTTGCATGTCTCACACATCACAATTAACAGGTTGGCTAGGTATAGAGTTCCAGGATGTGAAAACTTTTCCTTAGAATTATTTTGAAGTCATTGGCCCATTGTGTTTTCTCTTTTAAATGTTGAGAAATGCAATGCTGTTCTAACTTTTTTGCATGAGTCCATTCCCTCTCACTTCCACCACCAGACCTCTTAGGGTCTTCTCTGTATGTAATGTTTCGAATTTTCCCGATGATGTGTCTTATAGTGGATCATCCATTGTGCTGGGTACTTTAAACTTTTAAGTCTGGAAAGTCAAGTTCTTTAGTTCTGAGAAATATCCTTGAGTTATTTGTGGATTTCCCCTAATTCTCTTTCTCTTTCTGAAAAATAAGCTATTTGGATGCTGGACTTCTTGGACTAATCACCCAATATTCTTACTCTGTTTTCCATCTATATGCTTTGTTCTGGAAGAGTCCTTAAAAAATATTTTTTGCAATCTGTCTATGTAGTTTCCCTATTTTCTGCTATCACATTTTTTAATGTCCAAGAAGTGTTATTCTGTTTTGTTGAATGTTCCTTTGTTTTGACATCTTTCATATTAAAGGCCTTTTCAAATTCTTAGTTGTCTGCTCTTTTTAAGAGTGGGACCCTAGCCCAGTGGTGTGGCTCAGTGGTTGAACATGAACCTATGAACCAGGAGGTCACGGTTTGATTCCCAGTCAGGGCACATGCCTGGGTTGTGGGCTCAATCCCCCGTTTGGGGTGTGCGGAGGCAGCCAGTCAGTGATTATCTCTTCGATGTTTCTCTCCCTCTCCCTTCCTCTCTGAAATCAATAAAAACATTTTAAAAAGAAAAAAAAAAGTGGGACCCTAAAACAGATTGGAAGGTCTGTTTGGGGAAAGGAGTCCGGCTTATTGAATGTGGGCCTCACTCCTGTGATCTGGCTGGAAATCCCTGGTATTGGCATCTTTAGATCTTTTTCTATAGGTAACCTTCCCTTGAGAAGGCTTGTAAATCCTCCAAGGATACAAGGCAGGCTGCCATATTTCTAAGTGGGGAAGGAAGGCTTTTGAGCAAGCATGTCAGACGTGCAGCCGGTAAACTTCTTTGCATAAACTGACACTCAATGCCTTTGTTTTCAGTAAGATACCCAAGCCTTTAACTGCCTGATGCTCTCCAGCTCAGATACCATGTCCTGTACCAGCTTTGGGACAAAGTGAGAGGACCCAAGGGTCTATTTGCTTCTTACCTCGTCTTTCAACCTACCCTCTATAGCCCCACCTTCACCTACATTTCAGTTACCTGGTGTCACTAACTCAACTTGAGCCTTGTGGAAGTTCTGGATGTAAATCAAGTTGCTTTTCTGCTTTCCCATTGTTGGCTCTAGGATTCATCTAAAGACGTTTATCTGAAGACTTTCCACTTGCCAAAATCTCGTTTCTCATACTCGTTTCTTGTGCCTTTTAAAGATTTACTACTTTAGTAAGGTTTCAGAAGGGAACAGAGGCTATTGTGTGCAGTCATTCTCCCACGGGGCTGTCTTTAACTGTATTCTACTTGAAACGGGGATGCCCACCCCCTTTTTTTTCAGGCTAATTCCATTCACACACACACAGAAACAGAGCAGGTCGTCCTCTTCCTTTCTTCATAGTCTTTGTCTGCAGCACACAGTGCACGAATTAGAGAAAATGTAGTAAAGGATGTGAAAGCTTTATTACAGGAAGCCTAACCCGTGAAGTCATGGTTAAAAACCTCTCCAATAGGCATTTTGAAACGCTCTGGTGTTGTTTTAAAGCAGATGTGTGCATTTTTAAAAGTGAAATTTTACTGGCCCGACTGGTGTGGCTCAGTGGCTGAGGGTCGACCTGTGCACCGGGAGGTCCGCCAGTTCAAGGCCCAGTCAGGAGGGCATATGCCAGGGAGCTGGCTTGGTCCCCTGGTCCCCGGCAGGGAGTGTGCAGGAGGCAGCTGACCCATGTTTCTCATGGATGTTTCTATCTCTCTCTACAATCGATAAGAACCTATTTTTTAAAATATTAAAATACGGGTTTAAAAATGTATTGGGGTGACATTGGTTAACTGTGCATTTTTGTGTAACATTTTATACTTATTTTACTCCATTACCAGTAACACCATCGAGCTACTATCAATGTATGTGGCCGTTTTAAGAACTGGAGAATTTAATGGAGATGACACTCCCTGTGCCTTGAGTTCCCGGTCACGTACTGCCAAGGGGGAATACCTACTTGAGTGTTCCGTATGATTTTATCCTAAAGCAGGCCCATTTCCCCAGAATTTACCTTCCTCCTTAAACTGGTTACTTACAATGTGCTTTGTACCATGAGGCAGAACAGCGTGTTTGCGCTACCTACCTGCCTGCGTCTCCCTCGCTCCCAATGAGAAGGCGGGTGGGACTAAGCGACCCAGAGGCTCTTCCTGCAAACGGCGGGGCCCAGGTGCTGCCGTGGAGCCCATTCAGGCCGCACAGGGCTCAGGGTCATCCTCTCCCTCCAACCGCAGGAGGTCTCGTCCGAGGCCGCCTCTGCCAGGGACCGAGGGGCGGGCTCTGAGGCCCCCGCAGCTTCCTTCGTCCTTCCCAGCCCCGTTCTCGGGGGTCTGCGCCTCACTTCCAAGTGACCGGACCGGACAGGTCGCTGGGCAGATACTCGGAGGCGCAGAGCCGGCGCCGTGGCGCCCACGGGTGGAAACCCAGCCTCGGGCACGTTCGTCTCCCGGGTCTCCGGCGCCGCCC